TGAGGGAGAGAGAATGTGATGACTCACTTGGAGGAGGCTGGATACGGCCCCCCATGCTATAAATATTCCCCTAAAACAAATGCTTTGTTTGAACAAACAGCACAATCTGCAACAGCATCTCCGGTGCTTTTCTGGTACCCATCACGCAGGAACACTTAGACTAGGCCCTGCCGTCGGGGTTTGCTTTCTTTCTGTCAACTGCAATTAGCCAAATTCAGCAACATTTGCCACGGAGAGGCTGGGTGCTCTACTGCTGCTCTTACAGCAATAGGGATTTTGCTCAGCATAAAAGACAACGTAAAAGCCCTGCAGGGCAGGAAGAAATGACTCGGCACAACAGTTCTGTCCCTTCTAATCAGATTTGTGCCACGCTCCGCTTACGCCGGGGTCTAAACGGGTTTCTCTGTGCTCTCCCCACGCTCCTCCCCCTCGTGCCAGGTCCTTAAAAGTCCCAAGCAGCAGCCCATCCATACCATCTCCCCTCACATCTGCCTCTCCCTCAACCAGCTTTCTCCTGGGGTGGTTGTCCTGCTCTGCCCAGCAAGATCTCTACCTGCAAAGCACCTCCGGGGCTCCTCGCCTGACCCTGCCCTTCCACTTGGTGCTCTCCTCATTGCTGCGCTCTGGAGCTCATCAGTTCAGGGGGTAAGAGCTAATTGCCCGGCCCTTGGATCTCTCTGGCCTCCCAACCTCTAGCAGAGACCTTTGCTTTGCCTCCTCCAGCTCAGGGAAGTCGGGAATCCTCTCCTGGTTTTCTGCCTCTACCTGGTGTAATGTTCTTTGCCTTTTCCCTAGGGCTCTGCGTCCAGCCCAGCCGTACGTCCGTGCTGCAATGCTGTGGGCATTCTCTGTTCTCTGCTCCCTGGGTGACACGTAGATGTGCACGTTCACAGGGTTTCACAGGGTTTCCCGTCCCCTTCCCTAAGACACAACCAGCTTGAGGTTTGTAGGAATGCTGGAAATAACTAAAAATAGTCCAGACAGTTCAGTGGGTCGCGACAGATTCCTCCCTCCCAAGAGAATTGACTTTGTTCTTAGATGGAGCTAAGGGTCAAGGGGAAAAAAAATATATCTGGGGAAAAAGAAAAATCTTGGGAAAAAAAAAGCTTAATTGTGGATTAGAACTGATTGTTTCCAAATGATTTCATTGACTGTTTTGCTTCTCTGGGCTCAGGCAGGCTTTGGTTTGTGCTGGTTGGGTACTTGTTACCTTGAGGCCTTTCCTTCTGTGCTTTCACCGTGTCTAGGAAGGCGTTAAGAAACTTCTTTTAATTGGAAGTAAGGCAATTATTATTTTCGTGGCCTGCATGGACAGAGCTCACTTATGACAACTCAAATCCCTCCTCTGTGCTGTGCTTCTGTCGGACACTGAGCGATGATGCTGTCCTGCATCTCTGGAGCAGCTCGAAGGCTGCTCTTGGAGCCCGTCTCCCTGACAGTGGCACGGGGCTGTGAGAGTCAGACAGAGCTTTTCCAGTCCAGCAGCAATTACAGTAAGGAACAAAATTGCGATGAATCTTCTTTGAGAGGGCTCTTTCTCCTCCTGTGAAGCAGTTTTGGCACTGAAAGCTTAAGTTCTGTGGAGGACTCACCATTTCAGCCTGGGCTGTTAAAATGAAGGAAAAAAAAATCCACTAGTCACCACTAATTAACTTTATTTTGAAATATTTACTTGGACTGAAGTAGTAGCTGCTCTTAAGTCTTTAAAGGATTAGCTGCCTGCTAGTCCTTCGTGCCTGCAACCATTTATTTAAGCTGTTGCTGCAAATCATGCTGTTAACCTGTCATGCAAGGTTTTAACCTTTCTTTCCTTGTCGGTGGGAAATGCATGGTACAGTCTTGCAGATGTGATGGTGTGAATTAATACATCTGCAATCAGGTCTTCTGGGTTCCTTCCCCAGCTTCTTGAAAGAGGGGAAAGGCGGAAAATTAATACAGTAATAATTGTCTACTTTAGGATATGACAAAGCTTAATGAGGGGCTGTAAAAAGTTTAGGGAACATGAGATGGTTGAAAATGCATCCTGCCCCCTGCCTCTGTGCTCTCCCATGTGCTGTTACCAGGGCAAATAATTCCTCTCCCTCCTGCTGACCTGTCAGATAAGACGCAGCGTTTCCGTTGCGCCCCATCCTGATGTTCCCTTGCATTTGCCATACTCTGTTGCATCATGTTTAACGCCAAGTGGTGAAACCAATCAACCAAAACCCAGCTGCCAGGGGAGGTTTCCCTCATGCAAGAGCATCAGTTTTGGAGCTAAAAGCCGCATTTAGCAAAGGAAAAGTCAGGTGGATTTAGAAAGAATCCCTGAAGAAAGCTGAGAACTCACCTCAGCAAGGATTATTTCTTACTCTCGCATGTGCAGTGTATTTAGTGTAAAAGGGAAAGATCTCGGGTCCTTATACCTACAAATACTAATTAGCACCACCATATAATTTTCTAGCAGTTGTTTTTATCAATATATTATTAGAAAAATTCTACAAGCTTTTGTAATATTCTTCTTTCTTGTCTCTCAACCCTAACAGTTCATGTCACAGCATGACTCCTTCACTGCTATTTTGGGTGGTTCTTTTCCAGACAAATGTCTTATTTTCTCTGTACTCGATACTGCAGGTCAAGTGAATCCTCTCCATGTTTTACTGCATTAGAACAGAGGCAGGATTGTAACATGGCCAGTTCAAATGTACGGCTAAAAATAGGCCAGTGGATGGTCTCCAACTTCAAATACAAAAAACGTATTTGTAAAGGTTTCTCTTTGTTGCGTGACCGCATTTCAAATTGCTAAGGAGACACTTCAAAGTTCAGCTTACAAACAGCTCGTGTTTTAATCCTCCGTGTGAAACAAAGGAGACTATCTTTGACTCGCATCCGTAGTGGGCTGAGATGCTGGAAGCTGGCAGGCTGCTCCGCTCCGGGGAGTCCATCCTCCCTCTGGCAGGGTCAGCTCACCAGGATGCTGGCCTGATCCCGTGCCTCCCACCCCATCAGGGAGGGAGCTAAGGGCAGGCACAAATCCCTTCTCCTACCTCTGCTGTAGGGAGGGAAAAGAATTTAACAGTGGCAAGTCAGGCCAGAGCTTGCAGGAAACACTTCAGTGACACTGGCTCAGATTTTGGCACTGATGATTAGTGGAGAGGTGGCACTTCAGGCAGGGAAAGAGTTAATAAAATAAAGGGCAATTTGTGGGGGAGAAGTTGGAGTTTGCTGTTCCAGGCTCTGCTGTGGGTTTCCTTTTTATCCTTTCATCTCAGAGTCTTGGCTCTCATCACAAAAGGGGCTGCTGGTCCTTCTTCTTTGTATTTTTATTTAGACTGCGAGTCCTTCAAGGCATGGACTGTACCTTAACCTGTGTGCAGGGGCACAGCAGGAAGGCCCTGTTGGTAGGGAGCTATAAATAGTGAGCCTGTCCAGCCCTGTGGCATCCACGCTTGCTATAATTGCCTGGTTTGCGCTCCTGTGACGAGCGTTAGTTCAGCTGTCAGGGAAAGAAGGAACTGAAAAGTGTTGCCACAGACACTTCCCAGCTCCCCATTTGCCCCCTGAGCTTCGGTTTAGGCCCAGTTCTCCCTCTCGCCTCGGGGAGTTCTTCTTTTTCTAGCCACGTGTGAATGAAGAGAAGGCTCCGGGGAGACCTTAGAGCGGCCTTTCAATATCTGAAGGGTGCCTATAGAAGAGCTGGAGAAGGACTCTTTGCCAGGAGGTGTAATGATAGGACAAGGGGAAATGGTTTTAAATTGGAAGAAAAAAGATTCAGATTAGATCTCAGGAAGAAATTTTTTACTCTGAGGGTGGTGAGACACTGGAACAGGTTGCCCAGGGAAGTTGTGGCTGCCCCATCCCTGGAGGGGTTCAAGGCCAGGCTGGATGGGGCCTTGAGCAACCTGCTCTAGTGGGAGGTGTCCCTGCCCATGGCAGGGGGGTTGGAACTCGATGATCTTTGAGGTCCCTTCCAACCCAAACCATTCTGTGATTCTATGATTCCTGGCGTCCGCCCAGCGCGATTCGGACAGTTCTGTTTCAGAAGCAGCTTTGAGAGGGCTTGTGGTGCTGCCTTTTTCCATCTTTCACTCCTCCCTCAGCACCACACTCAGGTATTTCGCCTTTTGCCACTTGCCCCCAAGAAGGTTGACTCCTCAGCCACCGTTTTCCTCTCCTGACTGACATCACTCTGTGCTTTTGTTGCTCCACGCTCACATGAGGAATCAGATGAGTCACGGGGAGATAGCGGATGAAAGTAATGACCACATCCGAGACCGTCCTTCCTCCCTGAGCACATGGTGGATGTCCTCTCAGAACTGTTTGCAAGTGGGTTCAAGCGACGAAAGGTTAAAACGGGGATTCTCTCTGCTGTCACTTATCTGCTGAGATATGAGCAAGCAACCACGGGGGTGCTGCTGCCCGTTCTTTGCAAAGCAAAGGACCTTCATTTGAACTCCCGGTGGAGGTGGCTTAAGAAAACCTGGTTTATTCTGCACTATAAAATTCCTCTAATGGACTTAAAAATGATTTTGTGCACCATGTTCATGCCTTTTGGGAAGTAGATTAAGTGGGAATAAGTTGCTCTGGTCCTGCCTATACGCTGCCATTGAGGTGCTGGAGCGGGTCCAGAGAAGGGCAACAAAGCTGGTGAGGGGTCTGGAGAATAAGTCTGATGAGGAGAGGCTGAGGGAGCTGGGGTTGTTCAGCCTGGAGAAGAGGAGGCTGAGGGGAGACCTTATTGCTCTCTCCAACTCCCTGAAAGGAGGGTGTAGAGAGATGGGGGTCGGTCTCTTTTCTCAAGTCACAGGCGACGGGACAAGAGGAAATGGCCTCAAGTTACCCCAGGGGAGGTTCAGGCTGGATATTAGGAACAATTTTTTCACTGAAAGTGTTCTCAGCCCTTGGAATGGGCTGCCCAGGGAGGGGGTTGAGGCACCATCCCTGGAGGTGTTCAAAAGGCAGGTCGATGTAGTGCTGGGAGGTCTGGTTTAGTGATGGTGATGCTCCTTGTTTGTTGTGTGGGTGTCTATTTTTGTCAGTGAGGTTGACGGTTGGACAAGATGATCTTTAAGGTCCCTTCCAACCTAGAAGATTCTGTGATTCTGTGATTCTGTGATTTATTGGCACAGCGTTGAACAAGAGCCATGCATGAGCTTGATGCAAGGTGGCAAACCTCAGCTTGTCTCCTGCTTGGAGACCATCTCTCCAAACGACTTAGGCTTCTTCTGATGGGCGGCTGCAAGTGAAACACCCGTGTGAATGTGCATCGGCAAAGCAAAAACGTCAGGAGCTGTCAGCCACGGGCTCCTGCCGTGCCTCTTCTGCTGCCACAACACCTCAGAATCAGGAGATGTGGCTCCAGCAGCTCAGCAGTATTGGCAACTAGAACCTGGCAGAAAAAGAGAAGGGGGAGGATAAATACATGCTGTTTGCCTGGGCCCCTCCTGCTCCCACTCTTCCCAAGACATAAGGGCTAATTTCAGCAGCTGTGCATTTGAAAAGAGGGCTGGGAACAAACTCTGAAAGGTGACTAAGCCCATCTCCTCCTTCCTCTGCCAAATACAGGCCCCACTCCTGACTCAGCAAGTTAAATCTCATCAATTTGGTACAGCCCCTGAGGTGCCAGACATAACAGCATCAAGAAAATTAGCTTCTCATCCAAAGCATGAGCTGTCCAGTTGAGTTAGTGTTACTGGAAGTGTTCTTGATCACTCTTCCTCCCTGTACTCACCGGTAATGTTTGGATGGGTACCCTGAGGCCAGTGTGGTCTGAGCAACCCCCCAGCGAGAAGCCCAGGAACCTGTTCTGGGTTGTTTGTGCTGAGCTGGCTGCCAGAATCCGGTCTCCATTTTCAAGATATTTTGCATATACAAAGGTGAAGGAAGGTCTTCTCTCTCCAAAAGCTACCAGAGGTAAAACCGTCTTGATAGAACAGCAGGGATCCAACAATTCTGCAACTATGCAGATTTTTTTTTTTTCTCCTGCTCAGCTATTGATTTATGATGGGAATTCAGGCAACTGTAACTTTGCAACCCCTGCTATTTATCTTTCTATACAGCAAGCACAGCAGTACATCTGCCTCTTGGATCGCTGACTGAAGCCTCAGTAATTTGAGTACTTGGACCAAAGTAGCCTGAGATCCTTGGACTAAAAGCCCTATTTGCTATTAAGAGCACTTTGCACTAATTAAACTTCATAAAATTCTTCCTGGGTCTTACTACCTCCATTTTGCAGATCACAAAACTAAGGATTTAGCTCAGATACAGAGCAGGAAGCCTGTTGTTCAGCTTTGGAAACAGTTCTTAGAAGGAAATAAATTCTTTTGCTAACTATTTCCTTACAACGTTTGGGAGAGAGGAAACAGCAATCAGGTCATGACTGTCCCCAAGATAAACTATAAATTTATGTAGGTCAAGGAACCTGAAGTGGTGTTTCCCACTAGGTGGTGGTAGACAGCATTTTTTTAAGAAGGGTTATTCGCTCTGGGTTTCTTTACCTTATAGAATAGAAACCCAGGGTCTGCCCAGTTCAGGATTCTCTTCCCCTTACCGTTACCACTCCTTATTCCAGAGGAAAATGGAAAACATCACTGCTGGTGAGTTGCTAAACTTTTTGCCTTTTCTTGGGATGTTTCCTTTCGCCTCCTTGGCACCTGTTGAAATACCAGGGGTTTCATTTCTATTTTGTGTAATCCAGTAAAAGCTATTCCTTTTTATCCATATAAAAGATATTCCTGTCATCCATATACACGCATGCTGGGTTGTTCTTAACTCCTGGACTCCATCCATGGCATTCACATAAAATATTGTTAATCTGATGTGAGGCAAACTATTTTTTTATTTCCTTGTTTTATGTTGTAAATGAAAAAAAAACCCAACAAAGCCAAACCAGAAGCACATTAAAAAAAAAAAAAACAAAACAACCCTCCCCCCAAAAAAAACAAGAAGGGAATTGGAAATGAGCTGTGGATCCCAGACCCAAAACAATCTTCGTGGATACAACTGGATGTGAAATTTTGGGTTGGTCTTTTGGAGATCTTGTACTTGGATCAATGATTCACATCCCCATTGAGGCAATGCTTTGGTTGAAAATGGAAGTTTGAGTAAACAGAAGATATAGCAGCCAAAAACATTTCAGCTTTTAAATTTATGCCAGTAACGTACACGCTGCATCTCAAGAAAACCCTGACCTTCTGTAGTCCTGTCCTTACCATTTTATTTGCACAGAGCCATGAAGAAACAAACAAAATGAAGCTGGCGTGCTTGGGGAACACACTCATTAACAGTTACCTCAGAATATCGCAATAATAGCACATTCTCTGGCTGGAGAGAAGGACACGCAGCCCAGGCTGAAGGCTTGACTGACCCACAGCAGCATCTCCTCATGGAGACTTTCAGCTCCACACGGGCACAACCTCACCACAAAATCAAGTCCCTACTTGCACACTGTCATGGAGATGTTGCAGCGATTCAGGCCAGCAAATATCACAAAGCACTATTTGCTCATCCACTCCTGAATCGTTACTACTGTGATTACATTAATACTATAATATTTATCCTGCATTATGAGAGCAAGCATAATGAGTGATTAGTACAAAGAACAGAGGGAGGAATCAGGACTGTATTCTTAGCTGAAGAAAGTCAACATTACAAGAATTTAGGCCAGTTAGGGCAATTACAGGAGGAATTCAGGCTATATATTTTCGATGGACAGGTATTTTATACTGGTTGAATTGGGAAGAATGGCATAAACCTTCTATTGTGACTAATTGTCTAGATGCAGCAGCACCTTACCTGTTCAGGTAAATCCCTGAGTGAGCTTTGAGGAGCTCAAATAATCTCCTAGATTAGATCTAGCAAAGAAAACAACAAAGGGAAGGTGTCTCCGTTAGGATCTGAAAGGTCTGCACACTAAATGATTAATGGCTGCTAATTTCTCTTGATAGCATTGTTATGAAGGACACGCACATGCACATTCTGTGCCTCTGATTCTTCCAACTTTTTTTATGGTCCTGTGAATTATTCAGGCAGAAAGTGATTGAATGTTTTTATAAATACCTCATGGTTCTTCACTACGTTTTATTAACAGAAATGAATATGCCAATATTCCCAGTAAAATTATTTTTACTTCCACAGCAGGACAGTGTGACAGCATAAAATGGGCTGTGGCTCCCTGAACAAGTGGAATGATGGGGTATTTTCTGAAACTTTAGAGCACAGGTGGCCACCACCACCTGGAAGGTAATTCATCTGTTTGAGAGGAACAAAGGCCTGAAAAGTGCTTTGCTGGGTTTGAGCCCGGGGCTCCAGGGGGTCTAGCTATGTCAAATTCAATTCTTGGAGCACTAAATCCACTTCTATCATCTTTCCTCTGCTTGTCCTTGGGTTTATTTAACAGATAAATAATCTGTTTAAACTTCAATCTGACTGATGCACATGTCTGAGCTTCCCGCTTGCAGACCTCTTGCCATGTTACCTGTCTTTCACTCTGCCATCTTCCACTGGGGGAGGGCAAGTTAGAAAATTATAAGACTTCAAAAAAAAAAAAAATAGAGAGCGAGCTGTGTCTCTGCCAATGATTTCTGAACACAGGAAGTCCGCGTCCAGAGGCTGCATCTCTGAACACATACGATCCATCAACAAACAAACTCCCGTCAGCAGCAAAACTGCTGCAGTCTCAATCAATCTTGCATTACTAAAATGTCCCTTACATCACAGCTCCACGCTCCTCTACCCTAATAAACAAAGGCTATTAACATTTAAAAGCTGCACTAACCTTGCGTATATGTTTGGGATCAGGCCAGGTATTGAATAACGCGAAGGGATCGATATTCATAATCTAGAGCAGCAGAAGAGGTGCGTTGTAACTTACCCACGTCCTATATAGTTCTCCATATGGTTCATCTGAAAGCCTTTTAGAAGCTTAACAAGGAGTATTGCAGCGAATGTGGAAAAAATGATGCACGAGGATAAGAAGCACAAATGCTCCAGAGGCCTCGTAGGGTCTACAGTCTTAAAATAAGCTCCCGGGTTTTAATGGGATCTGATGAAACCCTCTTTAGAGGGGCAGGATGGAAGGGGTTGGACAGCTGGCCAACAAATACTCAGTAAACATTCCTGGTAGCCAAACTCTGCGCAAACAGCAACTATTAAGGCAAAGACCTGAAAGATCAACAAAGAATTGCAGGTCTGGGTAAAATGATGCAATGGATTACAATTAGTGTCACTGGTCTGGGGAGCACAGGCTTTCCTATCGACTAACAGCTACGAGGTACCTTAATCAAATAACGAAGGGGGCTGGTGGGGGAGAAAGCTCGGCATGGGTCAATATTATCTCAAGGACACCTACTGTAAATGAGCAGGCTGATGTTTGCGGCATGGTTTTGTTGAGGGAGAAAAGGTAGAAATTACCAGAGGCGGCTGCAGGGGCTTGGTCCCAGCTTCCCAGAAAAGCATCGAGCGGCAAAACTCTTCACGAGGCGGCTGGCTCTTTGCAGGGCCAAGAACTGGGCGTACTGGAAAGGGCAGAAGCCAAATTAAAGCGAGTTAACATTATCGAAACCCATTAGGAACTTCAGGTTTTGCCGAGAAGGCCTTGTCCATCTGTGGTACGGGGTATTGGAGCAGCAGGTGTCTGCGCTGTGTCTGAAACCACCCACCTCCAGGTGCTGGTGGGGGATCATGTCAGGTTTGCTCTGTCCCTCCAGCCAGAAAACTATGAAAATCTGAGAAATGTGAGATTTTAGGAAGAACTGTGTGTGTGGTGGAGGGGTCATCTTTTTTTTTTGGGGGGGGGGAATGGGGGGAGGCTCAACGTTCTTAGCCTTCCTCTTCCTTTCCCCCTTAAGCTCACTCTCCTATTATAAAAGCTGCATTTTTCCTAAAAAAAAACCCCAAAACTAAATCCCAGAAAAGGCGAGGGCTGAGGGCAGCCTGTGGTGACACCAGAAAAACGCCATTTTCCTGGGGGCTGTGGAGGGACCCTCCCAGATGAAGCGCCCCGGGGGGATTGAGCCCCGCTGGGGGAGATCGAGCCCCGCCGCAGGGCCAGGAGCCCTCCTCGTCCTCCGGGTGGTCCCGCCGCTGAGCCCCCGCCGCCCCGGGGTCGCCATGGCGTCCGGGCCCTGAGGGAATAAGGGCGGGCGGGCGGCAGCGCGACAGGCGCCATCTTGTCGGGGGCGGAGCGGGGCCTGGCCCGCCCCGTGCTCTGCCTGCCGGGGCGGCCCCGGCCCCGCCGCACTCCCCGCTGCCGACGGAGCGGAGCGGAGCCGCAGCCCCCAGCGCCATTGCCGCCCTCATGGTCCCGCCGCTGAGCCCCCGCCGCCCCGGGGTCGCCATGGCGTCCGGGCCCTGAGGGAATAAGGGCGGGCGGGCGGCAGCGCGACAGGCGCCATCTTGTCGGGGGCGGAGCGGGGCCTGGCCCGCCCCGTGCTCTGCCTGCCGGGGCGGCCCCGGCCCCGCCGCACTCCCCGCTGCCGACGGAGCGGAGCGGAGCCGCAGCCCCCAGCGCCATTGCCGCCCTCAGCCCGCTATGGCAGGTGAGCTCGTCCTCCTTCTCCCGCCGGGCAAGGCGCCGCCGCCGCTCAGCCCGCCCGCCCGTCCTGAGGGAGAAGCCACGCCGGCGCCTGCCCCGCCGCGCTCTTCCCTCAGCCCGCCGCGGTCATTGCTCTCGCCTCCCGCCTGCTGTCACCTCCATCCCGGCCCCCCGCCGCCGCCTCAGAGCCGCCCTTCATCCCCAGACACCCGGGGCTCGCCCCTTCCTCTTGCCGGGGAGGTGTGTCGGGGCTTCCCCGCAGCCTCCACCATGTTGCCCGGCCGCGGTTCACCTTGGCCGCGGGGCTCCTGCGCCGTCCGTACCTCTCCTCCTTTCCCTTTTATTTCATATTTATATCTGAAACTCTTCCGTGTTTTCCGTGCCGGCGGTTTTTTTTGGCTCGGCATCGCCTCCAGCCCGTACTGGGCGGAGGGGAAGGGGCACGGCCTGGGCGGGAGAGGGGGATGCCTGAGGTGGGCACCTGCGGCGGGATCACCTGCCCTGTGAGGCAGAGACACCCGGGAGGCATCCCTGGGGCTGAGGGGGGGTATTTTCTCTGTTCCATCGACATCATAAATTTTTTTAATTTTCCTCCCTTCCCCCCCCCAACCCGTTAATCTGAAACAAAATGGGTGGCAGAGTCGTAAGCTTGCAAATGGGATGGAGAAATGCAGGTTAATTCTCCCCTGGTCCTGAAGGGGTGGCCTCGCTTTCTTGTCTGATCCCGTTCTCGTGATACGCTTTGAGGGTTTGGGTTTTTTTTTTCTCCCTTTCTATTTATTTGCTTTTTTGGTTGGCTTTTTTTTTTTTTCAGTGCAGATCAAGACAGTAAATATTACTGTTTTATGCCTTTGACTTGTGGCCCCTGCTCGGTGTCGTGTGTGGTTTTCTTTTGTTTTAAGGTAGGTTTTGGGTAGAAATAAGTGATGTAGGTAGCGCAGGAAAATGCCCGAACAAAGCTTGTTGAAAGCCTTTGATTAGGCTTCCTTACTTAACTGGTAATGACTAACTATACCTATATTGTGCATCTCTGTTGCTAGTGGCTTTTGCCTTTCTTTCTAAAGGATGGGAATGGAGGCAGAGACTAGTAGGGTTTCATTCCTGTCCTTTCATTTTGGAGCCGCCACTGTCATTTTGTAGATTGGGAAGGCAAATGTTTAACTGCCCCTTGGGGTCCCAGGCGGCGGGTCCCTTCACCTCCCCAGGTGGGTGCAGGAGGGGGCTGACCCCCGAAGAAGCTGCAGGCAGAGCCGGTGGAAGATTCTGGCAGGAAAGGGAATTCCCCAGATGTATTTAAGACCAGGTAAAGACCTCGCCTAATAATCTTTTCCATCTTATCGTTTGCCCTGCGCGGCTGACAGTCGTGTAAGAGTTCAGTGCCAGGTAAATGCTGGGCTCCCTGTTGCTGTTGAACTTGACCAGCTGAAATCAAATTACCAAATGCTCCTTTTTCACAGGGAGCTTAATACATCTGTGTATCCCCACTGCAGTGCAGCGTTGTCACACTTGAGCAATCTTTAAATTACCCAGTTTAAGCTTTAAATAAAAAGCTGTTTTGGGTGGTGGTTTTACTGGCAGCTGGGTTTGATGCAGGCTGTAAAACCTAGCAGAGGAGCAGAACAAACAGTAGAGCCATTAGCTACTGATGTGCTGCACACTGCCAGAGCCAGGCTTAACGCTGCACACCTTGATCAGCCCAGTGATTCCACTCTAGATAAAGGATTATTGCAACAAGTAGCTCAGGTTAGTAAACTGGAAAATAATCCTCGAGATACGTAGAACAATTGGATTAGTAGTTGATGAGCTCTTACAACCCTACTCCTAGCTTCGAGGGATCCAGATAGCTTGAAATTAGAGCAGTATTAACATGGAGATGCACTAGAAGAAATTCAACCTTGGGCTAGCAATGAGGTTGAACAAGCCCTGAGATTTTTATCATGGATTTAAACAAGCCTTTGGCTTTACTACAGATGCAAATAGGAGTTGAAAATGTCTTGTCAGGGCCCCCGGGATAAGGGAAGGAGTTAAGGACTGCACTTCTCAAGGGTGGGTTGTGCTCCTGCTGTTCCCTAACAGGCTGCATTCACATGGTTTAAAATCCATCCCAATCTGTCACTTGTCTGTAAGCCCTGCTCTTAGCCAGGCTTAGGTTTGGTGAACCGCATTCTTGGGGCACCTGGCTCTCATGTTGAGTAGATGTAAGTAATTGGATGGAAATAAGGTTCTCTGAGTACAGGCCTCTTGCTCATTCTGCATCTTCAGTATGGAAACAAATCTGAAAGAAACCCAGCTTTTCAAATAGTCGGATAATTTGGGCTGCAGGCTGATGAGTGTTTCTGGTGACAGCACCAATTTCAGCAGCCCCCATCCATCACTGGCTGCACGCTCCCAGCCTTGTGAGCCCTTGGGGTGCAGGTACCCCTCTATGGATGGCTGTTCGGGCAGGGAGCTTTTTTTGGGTTAGCCCACAAAAGTCTTGCTTTTATATTGAAGCTAGATCCCTTTGGAGATTTTTTTACCTGTTCCTTACCCTCCCTGAGCTACGGGTAGACCTGTGCGTACATCCTCAAAGACATACTGAGTGATGTGTATGTATGGATTAATATTTTTTTTTAAAGACTGCTAATATGAGAATTTCTGTCTTCTGTAGTTGAAGCTAACAGGGTCTTGAATTCCAGTGGAGGAATAAAAGTCGGGTCTTTGTTGGTATTATTTGGCTGGAGACTTTTCTTCAGGGGGAACTTAAAATAATGACAGTGTTTGAGGATTTTTTTTTTCCCCCCCTAACACAAAACTTTATGGCTGTGGATTTTCCCCGCAGTTGTTTGGAAGACTGTAGAAGATGCTGCATTCATATGCAGTTTCTATTTCAAAGGCTTTTAAATTAAATCGAGTTGAGTTTTCTGTTCTCTGATTCAGTCAGTGTGTGTCTTTTTTTTTTTTTTTTTTTTTTTTTTTCCTGGCATAGCCAAATTTTTCAAAGAGATATCCCAGAGCTTTGTCAAGCTCTCACCGCGACTCCCCTCCTCAGCATCACCACGTGTGCCATGAACCTTTTCAAGGCTTTGTGATAACGTGCAGCTCCCAGTGTTTTCTTTGATTCAGTCAGTGTGTGTTTTTTTTTTTTTTTTTTCTTTTTTTGTTCCTGGCATAGCCAAATCTGTCAACTTCCTCAATATAATGGACTTTCTTATCTCCGATGAAGTGGCATCGCTGTGCTGTTTAGGTTGATTGGAGATGGTTGAACACTTAAATGGGTGAAACTTTACCCATCTTCAGTGGGGATTGCTCCAGAAGTGCCTGTTAAGCTGCTCTAATGACCTGCTCTGAACTGCAGCATTTAACCTCTTCTGAGCCTTGTGTGTACCAGGGGGAAGTCAACTAACGTGCCCTCCAGCTATTCTGGTTCACAGCAGATTCCAAACCAGTGTACCACACAAGGTGATTTTTGGAAGATCCTTGTTCTGCTGTTGCTGTCAGTGTCTTTTTTTATCAACCATGTAAGAAAAAGAGTGAGAAAACTCAAGCCCGAAAAGATTCTGTGGGGCTATTCTTCAATAAATTTCTTTGACTTTTGAACACTACGTTATGCATTTATCCTTACGAGAAAATGCAGATGGTTGTGCAAAATGGTTTTTCTTTGATTGAAGGTGATGGTTCATGTATTGCTGGAAAACTTTTATTTGTATCAAGTGTTCTTATTTATGAAGCTTTAGTGGTCATGAAACAGTCTGACAGGAGTTAGGGTGTGTTTTATTTTACTTAAAACCTGCAGGAAGAAGATATTGACAGTCAGGATGAGTAAAGAGAAATGCATCATGATGTAGTGTAAGGCAGGAATAAAATAAATCATTTAAAATGAAAGCTATTTGCCATGTTCTCTAGCCGTTCCCAGGGGTGATATGCATTAAGACATTCTGCTAACTTCGTGGTACTGCACATAAAACTTCTATCAGTGCTGGGGAGCATATTTTCTTTATGGCTAAATATTTTTAGTTGTTATGAGCTATCTTATGACAATGTTTATTTGAAGGCAGGAAAGAAATCTGATGATATTTGGCTATTTTCAGGTTATGGGAAGGAAATGTCTACTATTTGAATGCTCTTCTCTTAGAGATGAATCAAAATGTGGATTTCTTGCCATGGTAATTTGGCCATGGGAGGAGTAGAACTACCTCCTTGGGAAAGGGAATTGGAGTGTTGAAACATCGCTGGCACTTGGTGGGGAAGGGAAGCAGAAGGGGAGACCTAGTCTTCTAGTTAAGAAGTCTCCAGCTCTGGTTTCATTCCTTTCACTCAACATTAATCTTGGCCAGTTTTGGTGCCAAACATAGCAATGCAGATGTGTATGGCATCAGAAACGCGCTGTGCCTCTGCGCCTCCCAGGGTTTTTTAATCCAGGGTGTTCTCAGAGGTTTGGTGAACGTTTTTCTTGGTACTGAATGTTGTCATCAGTCTAGTAAATAGTGAATCATCACTCGCCTTGGGTCTGCAGAGAGCTGTGACTCCACTCTTGGCTCTGCCGTGGCCCTGAGGTCGAGTTGGGCCGATTGGGGTTTGAAAATCCCGGGTTGATTTTGGGAAGGATGAGGTGACCATCGCGGTCCCAGCCAGGCTGTAGGGAGGCAGCCCCAAACCACACGTTCTGGTTGTCTCCATTCTGCGCAGCAGGAACGTATGGGAATAAAAATATCTCTGTTCCTGTCTGACAACTCCATTTTATTATTTGCAGAGGAATGGCTGGGCTTGAGGTAATTGTAAAACTAGCCTTTAACGGGTTTATAATTAGAAATTCAATGATCTAAATCTCCTTGTGCCTGAGTTCTCAGGCCAGGAGATGAAAGTACTGGTTACAGAGGATGGGTGGGGGAATGCACTTACCGTCCAAGCGTCTGGTCTTACTTTTATTTTTTTATTAAAAAAACAAACCTGCTTCAGGAGAGAATAAACTTTGTGCTTTTCTGGTAAAAGGCAATTTCCAGAATTTCTTCTCCCCAGGCAGCC